GCTTCCCTTTTTACCCTACTGGAGAAGTTTTTGGATGTGCATAGGGATTTGAGTCTTAGAAGGTCCCATTCATCTATGTTATCTTCTCCTGGTTGAGCACATTTGGATTTAGGTAACGCAGTGTCACAGCCGTATCCCTGTTCAGAATCATCAGTCGAGTTACTCCCAATACCACCTTCTGCCTTAGAAACACCTGTTGTGCACACCTTGCCTACGCTTTTTCAGTTCCTGGAGATTTCGAGAAGAAAGATGGTGATGTCACTGCTCATGTACATATTACAATTTTAACAGCCATTCCTGGATTTTCGTCTCATGCACTCTGGGCATGTTTTATCAGGAGAGGCCAGACCTTGGGAAAAGCCGTAACATTGGGAAAGGCAGCAAGAGGGTCGGCAAGAGAGAGAAGACCCTCACCGAGGGGGCGGCTAATACAGGTGGGCTAGCGGAGAGGAGGAGGTGGAGCAGGGAGGTCCCAGCTGCTCACGGGTCATTAGGAGTCTCTGAATTGCAGGGCACCCAACATTTCTGACCTGCTTTCCCAAAGGACTCTCAAAATTTACATTCCACCAGCAATTCGTGCTCGAGTAACATCTACAGCTGGCCTAACGGTAAGGGGTTGAGCACGTTCGAACCCACCAGCTGCAGCACCTGAGCCATATGGCGGTCCACCCGTGGGATTCACCTTCTCTGAAAACCCGCTGGGTCAGCTCAGAACAAGAATTCCCTGAGGTTCTCTAGGTGGTTAAAATGGCTTGGTTGCTAACCGCAAGGTCAGGGGTTTGAACCCACCAGCTGCTCTGTAAGATTGGAGGTGGCTGTTAGCTTCCATCAAGATTGTTGTGCACCAGAGAGTTGGAGCCGTCTGGCAGGTTTTCAGAGGCAGATAATCGCAAGGCAGGAGACGGCCCATCCCTCAAAGAGTCTGTAAAGATTCCGACCATGGAGACCCTGAGGGTCAGTTCTAGTCTTCTAGGGTCGCTAACAGCTAGGACGTCCCTTCTATGTGGCCCGGGGCTGCCAGTCCCCAAGCCCACCGCGTCCATCTCACCTTCCAGGTGGGCCCTTCTGGTGCCTCCACGACTTTAGGGGTCACTGTGGTGGCTCTTCCAGGTTGGCTGGGGGACTGTGAACCTGGCAGTGCGGGCTGCGTGTGAGTCCTCAGGCCGCCCCCGTCCCCAAAGCTCACTTCTAGATGTCCGTCACTGCAAGGCCCCCAAAGCTCTCCTTCCAGGCGCCGCTGGGATTGGCTGGGTTGTGAGCCCTGAAGCTCTCCTTCCAGGCGCCCCAACACCGGGAGCCCCCCGGGTGAGCCTGCCTCCCGGGCGCGGTGCGGGCTGGGTGCCCGCGGAGCCTTCGTCGAGCGCTCCCTCCGCGGCTGGTGGCCGGTGCGCGGGGTCGGTGGCCGGTGCGCGGGGCCGGTTGGTCCGCGGGGCGCAGCTGCGGGCACTGAGGCCGTGACCCTGCGCAGCTGCGGCGGGGGGCGGGGCGGGGGGCTTTTCCCGCCGCCTTTCGGTTTCGATTCCCTCTCGGTCTCCGCCCCGTGGGCGCGGCCGTCCGTCTGTCGGCTGTCGGGCGGTCCGCGGTGGAGCGTGCGGGCATCGGTCCTCCGGACTCTCAGTGGCGTCCCTGCTGGGCGTCCCCCAACACTCTCCAGACGCGCGCGACCCGCACCCCGAGAACCACCGCGACCTGTACCCCGAAGACCCTTGAGACCTCTGCAGTCCGCACGTGGGGGTCTTGAACCCCTGGCGCCCTCGGGGAGGACCCTGCTGCCCCCGCGCCCCGCCATGGCGCAGGCGCTCGCCGAGGCCACCCAGGCGCTGTGCGCGGCGGGCGGGAGCCTGGAGCTGGAGGAGCTGCGGCGGCGGCTGCGGGTGGACACGGGGGCCCTCGAGGCACTGCTGTGCCGGGGCGAGCGGCTGGCGGTGGCCCAGCGGGGCTCGGGGAAGCGGGCGGTGCGCGTGGTGCTGGCGGTGACCGCGCTGCGCCTGTGCCGCCTGTCTGCCTGCCCCGGGGTGTGCGCGGACCTGCACTTCTGCAAGTTCCAGCTCTACGGCGACTGCAAGATCGAGAAGACCGGGTGAGCGCCCCTGGACGGGGAGGGCGCCCCGAGCACGCCCTGCACCCGCGGAGCGCAGACGGAGTGCTCGGCACCCCTGCGTGCCCCCAGGGCGCACTTACGGGGCTTGTGGCGGGGTGGAGTGGCCAGCTGTCCGAGGACACGGCTTGGCTCGTGAGTCCCAGGGCTGTGGATCCACATTCCAGAACTTTCTCTGCCTAGCCTTGCTGCTCAGCTGCAATTACGTTGCCCTTAAGGTCCATTAAGGGAGCGCTGCTGGCCCAGTGCTAAGAGGCTGCTCTATCAACCTGAAGGCTTGCAGTTCAGATCCACCAGCTGCTCTCTGTGAGCGGGGAGTCTCCTTCCGTGTGATTTACTGACTCGGAAAACCTGCGTCAGTAAAGACTTGATACCTAACAAGGTCCCTTAGGAACCAGCCTCTGCCTGCCCTCCACTGTTGTTCTGGAAAGCTCCTGACTTTTCTCCTCAGGCGGCCTTTCCTTGGTTCCTTCTTGGGTGGACAGGTCTTCGTGAGGTGGTGTCCACACTAGATGCAGCCCTTGGGGAGGGACAAGGGACCCCGCCATCTCTCCCCAGCTCGCCGTCTCCCAGCTCTAGCACCTGCTCTGAAATGTGCTGATCCCTGAGATTTGTGGAATTGATGCTGATGGGCCTGGCCTGAAGGTGTTGGGGACACTGGACGTGAGGGGAGCAGCGGTCAGGCATGGTTCACTGTGGTGTGTGGTATCTGAGAGCAGGGGCTGGGGACACAGGAAGCTGGCCAGCTACCTGGGAGGGTGCGCATACCTGTGGCTTTGTCTTCCTCTTTCAATTTCCCTCCCCCACTTCCTATCACATCGTTGCTTAGGCCCACACACCAACATGGGGTTCAGGTCTGCCCCACAACTCTTGGGGACCAGGAGTCCTTAGCCAGCCTATTGTGTCAGGTTCCAGTGGGGAACACGTCTCTCGCTGCATGAGTCAGTCTGGAAGTGGTAGACACACTCCTACCTACATCCCGTGGCCCCAGAGCTGTCTCCTCACCCAACTGATGCGAGGCATGGGGAACCTTGTCTGTCCCTGGGAGCGAGCTTAGACGTAGCTAGATGGGCATCTTCTGGAGCCTGAGGAGGGGAATGTCTCTGTAGTAATCTGGGGGAGAGTTCCGAGTGTGGGGAAGAGTGATTCTCTGAGGGTGGCGTCATTCCCAAACTGGCCCCCTCACGTGGTAAAATAATATCGGCAGCCTAGCCCCTACCTGAAATGTGGTAACACAACAAGTGAGCCCATTTCTCAAGCTAACCCTCTTCATATGGTCGAATAACCCAGTGTGTCAGAACTCCCCTAATGCAGTGAAATACTGTTGGAAGCCCAGTTATCAGACGTCCCCTCTCATGTGATCAGAGAACCAGGGGACTGGGTTTTCAGGCCACACTTCATGTGGTAAAATAATGGTGGCCTCCAATTGCTCGGTGAGCCCTCTTCGATGAGAACTGTGGAGCCCTGTTCTCAGATGCATCTCCTCAAGTGGCAGATGACCAGATAGCCTGCTTCTCAGGCAGACCTCCCTCGTGTAAAATTATGATCCCAGTTCTCAGGTTAGCGTCTACACTGGGGGCCAGGTTTTACTTGGGCATCTAGATACTGGATTTTTTTCTTTTTAGATATTGGAATTTATGGAGCTAGATGGCACCAGTGGTTTTGTTTTACATGTTTGATGATCAGCAGAGGTGCTTACTAGTCTGTGGCCAGAAATTCGTGGACAGTTACCTGACCAGCTGACTGGCCGAGCTTCAATCTGTGCCCTAGCTAAAGAAAGACGATCTAATGTAACGTGGAGAATGGTAAACATTATCATACCACACTGCGATCTAATGTAACGTGGAGAATGGTAAACATTATCATACCACACGCAAGAAAAAGAATGATAATGAAATAAAGATAATGAAAGACTGGGTGCACTGGCACCTAGGCAGAGAACCTCCAGAAATGTGAGCCAGGGTTCAAAAGAGGCCGTTAATGGGGGAGTGTCATGGTTGATGTCGGAGGGCTGTGGGCTAAAGAGACCAGAGGAATGTTTCCATGTGCTTTCTTGACAGTGCAAAGGCATTCAGCTGTGCAGACCATAGTGAAGTCTAGGGAACAATGTAAGAATAAGAATTCAGGATGTGCACTTCTGGAATTGTGTGTGGGATTCCAGAATAAGTATGTAGGGTCTGCATATAGACCAAGAAGCGGCCATTGGAACAGAACGAGGGGTTGGCTGTCAGGACAGTTGTGTATGAGGGTTGTATCGTGTCACCGTCCCCCGTCAGTGTGTTGGGAACCCTGCTGGACCCTGTAGGGAGTCACACGGTGGAAGGCAGCCTCTCCCTGGAGGCTAGACCCCACCGGCGACTGTGCAGGGGAAATACAGCCAGTCTCCTCTTGGATGATTTTTAACCTCCACGGACCCACCGGAGGGTCATTCAGGAGTTGATTACGGCTGGGCAGCGAAGAGTTGAGTCTTAGCTATAGGAGGCTGGACTACACGAAGAATTAGGATTGGAGGAAGACTCACCCGCAGCCTGTGACACACCCTGACTTGTGTAAAGCAGTGACTTGAGCATTTACTGAACAGAGACCACAGCTTTCAGGATGGACGAGAGGTCGACATGTAGTGAACAGTTCTCACAATTGGACTAACAGGCAGTGCTGTCACTGAGGGAGAAGTGTTGGCGTCAAGATGTGATTTTACTTGGATCTACAGTCAACACTGGGAGGAAGCAATCAGGAAATCAAATAATGTCTTGTCATGGGAATATCAGCTTCACAAGATCGTTTTTACGGTGTTAAAAGAGGAAAGCTGTCTCTTTGAAGACTCAAGTGTGCCTAACCTAAGCCAAGATATTTTTCACTTCTTTCACATCCGTGTGAACTTTGGATAATGAATAGGGAAGTCTGAAGAAGAGTGGATATCCTTGAATTGGGGTGTTGGCAGAGAGAAAAAAACCCCATATATTCTGGGGTCTCCAAACGTGCCACTGGAATGCTCTGTGGAAGCAGGGAGGACGGGACTGCGTCTCGTGTGCTGGATGTGTTACCCCGCGGGGTCCCGAGAGGACATGGGTCTTGATAGGGGGTCAGTTATAACCAGAAAGACCCACGATGGGATGGATGCCACTGAGGCGTCACCAGCTGCCTAAGCACAGCGGAGTTTGAGAGGTCAGTGCCGTGACTGGAAATGACCCGGTGGCACGTGAGGACAGTGGCCTCAGGCCTGACGGGAGGAACTTCTGGACCGTGTTCCCCGGCCTCTGGCCCCGTGGGGCGTGCGTCTTGCTGTCCTCTGCGCTTCCCCTGTGACCGGCTTGTTTTCTAGAGTCCCAGGGCATCTAGTGCAGGAGTAGATCTCGGAGAGCTCTGGTGGCCTAGTGGCAAGAAGCTGCATTGCAATCCCAGAGGTGTGCAGTTCGAATCTACCAGATCCTCTGCTGGAGAAGGAGGGCAATCTCCTCTTGTACCACTGAGATCCAGTTTGATGGCATACACACAAAAATAATAAAATTAAATTTAAAAAAGAAGGAGATCTCTGGGCTGGTAGGGATCTCAGGTCCCTTCGAGGCAGGAGGGTGCTTGGTCCAGGGCAGCCTACCTCGCCCAGATCCTGGCTCTGCCCTGGCGCTCCGGGTGATCCTGGGCAAGCTGCTTTCCATCCAAGGTCCAAGTCTCCTCATGATACTGCCCGGCTCACAGCCTCCCGGAGGGTGGAAGGAGGTAACACAGGAGCGCCTAGGCGAGCCTTGGGGTGCCGTCATTCTGAATGTTTAGCAGCACGTCTGGCTTTGACGGCACCACTTTCCACGCCTCTCCCTAAGTGTCCTCGTTCCTCTCCTTGTCTGGCTTGTCCTCAGATGTAAAGATCTGCTTTGGCTTCCAGCCCACGTCCCCCAGCTTCCTCCCCAGCATGCCCTGGCCCAGGTGCTCCTTGTCTGGCTGTGGTGGTCTTGGCACAGCTGACCTGGTACTGTGGTCCACTGTGGAATCACCTGTGTCCTTCCTGCCTGGGATGAGAGGGGCCGAGGAGGCCTGTACTGGGAGGATGTCCTTTCACTGAGATGGGGTGACCAGGGGTGCTGGTTCCTTTGGAGGTTTTCTGGTACTTTCTCCATGCTCCCTGATGGGCACTTGGTCCATCGTGGTCCCCAAGCTGTCAGGGCTGTGACATCCTCATGGGCAGGTTTTTTGGATTTGTTGTTGGGTTGGGGTTTTTTGTTTTTTTTGTACTCTTACATGTTCTTTATTTTCTGAAAGTTCTCTTGTGTGTTTTTTTTATTATTATTAATTTTAATGAACATTTACAGAGACTTTGGATTTCCATTCACTCATTGTTGCATTTTTCTCCCTGCCAATCCCTCCCCTCCAGTTTGCTCTTCTCTTTGAAAAGTGAAAGGAAAATTTTTTCATTGTTATACAATCCCTCCCAAGTCCACTCCATTATGCAGCCTTCGTTCTGGTCTCCTGTCATGACAATAATACCTAATCACATATCCCTTTTAAATAGTTCTCTCCCTCTTCTATTTCAATGCAGTGTACATTATTGAACTCATCTTTCTCAGACTCCCCCCAACCCCGAGGTCAGTCCTGTTTTACAACAGTGGCACCATGCAGTATTTGTCCTTTTGTGGCTGAGATATTTCATTCAGCATAATGTCCTCCAGGCCCACCCATTTTGTATAATATTGCATGAGTTTCTTGTTTTTCAGTGCAACATAGTATTCCATTGTGTGAATATACCACAGCTTCTCTATCCATTTGTTTGTTGATGGCACTTAGGTTGTTTCCCAAGGTATCCTCCTTGCTATTGTGAACAAAGCTGCAATAAACATGTGTGTGCATGTCATGGGCAGGTTTTTTTTCTCTATAATTATATTTTATTAATTTTCATAAACATTTACAGAGATTTTGGGTTTCCATTCATTCATTGTTGCACTATTCTCTCTACCCTCCTCC